CCACCAACGCGAAGTCATGAACCTCCGCCCTCCGTCTGCAATTAAAATTGGAATGGTATTGTTGAATGGTGAATGCTGACTGCTGAGGCCTGAATAGATATGGCTGAAATTGTTGAGTTGAAATTGGTGAAGTTTGGGTATTGACGTATTGTTGAATTGAAATTAGTGAAGTTTGGGTATTGTTGAGTTGAAATTGATGAAGTTTGGGTATTGTTGAATTGGAATGCTAATAAAATTGATTTGTCAATTTTATTCAAGAAATTTGTGTAGTCTGTAGTCTCTGTCTCATGTTAACTAATCTTTGGGCATTGTTGATTTGGAATGTTGGGTTTGCCGTGGTGACTACTAACTATGTTGTTGAGGGTGGGGGTTAAGGTGTTAGGCTCCCCTTGAAACTTAAACAGATCATGGGAAAGCCAATTTCTTGAAAGATGTTGTCTTTTTGATATTACAATCAATTATATCATCAAATCTCCTTTTTCAATTATGTAATTCCTAGATCATGTCTGTTCAATTTCTGCTATTACTACTCCTCTATCCGTTGGAGAGGAATAAGTTGGAATAACTTTGTTACTTATTCCATTATTAGGTTTACTTAAGGGTAGATCATTCAAGGTTTTAGGTTTTGGTATTTTACAATAATTGGTGTTCAGTTAATCCTATTATGTGTCTTTTCCCGTGTCCTTCATGCCCACTGAGATGGAGATGAAACATAATTATCTTGTCTGATCCAAATGCTGGCCACTTCTTTACTGTTGTTCCCTTTTTTAACCAGATTTTGGCTGTATGAGCTATACTTTGGCATAATTAAAGTCAAGCAACGGGGTCCGGATGACTACTCTAATAAGCTCAAAAGTTCAATAGAGTTTGGTGAACTTAATTGAGAGTATTTGACTTCATTTTACTTGATACTTGATTTGGACTTAACTTGATTTTGCTTTTGCTTTCAATATTAAGTTATTGTACAATGGTAGTATGAAAAATCACAAACAACAAGTATAATTTATAAACTATACCATTTTTAGTATTGTCGTAATGTTGTTTTATTTTTTTATCTACATTAAATTCATGACCAAAAAGTCAAAGTTCGGAGTCGACTAAATTTTGCCCACCCTGAACCAACAAGTTTAGCATTTTGAGAAGTAATCAGAAGCTTCTGCACACTATGGGTCGAAAGGGTTATCCACGTATGGCTCATGAAATTGTACAATTACAAACACATTTAATCTTCTTACTTGAAAATTCAACCATACTAGTATATGCTAATTACTAGATTTGCATTGCAGAAAAAACAAAATCCAGATATCAAAGGATTAAGAACCAGAGTATGGACTCATGGACATCTTAGGAAGGATGGAAAACCAATAAATGAAGCAGTTGCCGAGACTTTGGTATGTATATTATTTCAAATTTCGTATTATATCACATTAAAAATGGTTGTATTATATCACTTGTCAGTATAAAATCTTCCTTACATGAGTGTAGAAAAAAGATTGAAGATTGTGCTTAATCAATTTCTAATACATCAGCAGAAGATTCCATCCGCGACGATGCTGTTGCTCGAGTGTTGGGCCCTGAACGTCATGGAAGAGTTCGAGAACTTGGATTTGGAGTTGCACCATCAAAAGTGGATGGACAAATTCAAAGTAATGGGAGTTAGAGAACTTGAAAGTCAATTACAAACTCAATCGGAAAGGATGGAAGTACTAGAAGAAAAGGTTGAAGCACTTCTCAAGTTAAGTCAACAGGTTAGAACTTTTGACCATTATTTATACTGTGATAATATAACTTAATACATCCAAGTATATGTAGAATAACTTTTATAATCTTTGTATCATTTTTCAAAATCTGGAGGATGGGAATTCAAATGCGTTTACTCCTCAAGTTTTTGTATCTTACATTATTACAAGTTATATACTTTATAAATTTTGACTGAAGTATACTAATATAAAAAACATATTTTCTATTTACAATGAATTTGTAGTCACACCAAGGAAGTGGTGTCCAAGGAGGCATTGTACATGTGGAAAATGCTAGGTGTCAACTACTTCATTGATACATGTTTGAGGAGGAAGAAATTGTAGCAGAATGGAGAATTGCAACAACAGATCCAAGTTCGAAGGTGCATCACTTGTCACTCGGAAGAGACTGTTGGAAGGTTTGGGTTGAAGAAGTGTATATGAATCAATTGACCTTATAAAGACCTACTGATGAAATTCGAACTCTTCGTGAAGCCGTGGGAAGTACTGTTGCTTGGCCAAAGAGTAGTATTAGACTTCTTTGATGAAGGTATGTGAATCTATTTCTATTTCGGGGAATTGCATTTTCTCATTTTTAATGTTCATGAGCAAGATATATGAAGTGTACAAGTTGTGACTAGCATATTGTAGAAGTAAGCTGTGGTTTAAAGTTGGTATTTGTTGATGTTCGTTAGCTAGCATGTTTTTGTTGGATGTTGATGTTCTTTAACTAGAATGTATTTTTGAGGGGATTGTGTACCCTATTTTAAATTATATGAACTGATTTGATGATATTGGCTATTGTTCAGGTGGTTTTAGTCTAGAATATAGGGGAACTCTGTCAAAATTTTCATAAAAGTCACTTTTGAGGGGCTGGTGTACCCTATTTTAAATTATACAAACTGGTGTGTTGATATTGGCTATTGTTCAGGTGGTTTTAGTCTAGAATACAGGGAACTCTGTCAAAATTTTTATAAAAGTCAGTCACAGTTATGACAGGTCAAAGTTGCCTTGTTGATGTTAGTTAACTAGCATATTGTTGGATGTTGATGTTTAGCTAGTATATTGTAGAAGTAAGTTGTGGCTGAGATTTTGTATTTGTTGATGTTCTTTAGCTAGCATGTTTTTGTTGGATGTTAATGTTATTTAGCTAGAATGTACTTTTGAGGGGCTGGTGTACCCTATTTTAAATTATATGTTCTTGATTTGATGGTATTGGCTATTGTTCAGGTGGTTTTAGTCTGCATTACAGGGGAACTCTGTCAAATTTTCATAAAAGTCAGTCACAGTTAGGAAATATCAAAGTTGCCTTATTGATGTTATTTAGCTAGCATATTGTAGAAGTAAGTTGTGGTTGAGATTTGGTATTTGTTGATATTCTTTAGTTAGCATGTTTTTGTTAGATGTTGATATTCTTTAGCTAGAATGTACTTTTGAAGGGCTGGTGTACCCTATGTTAAATTATATGAACTGGTTTGATGGTATTGAATAAAGTTCAGGTGGTTTTAGTCTACATTACTGGGGAACTCTGTCAAAATTTTCATAAAAGTTAATCACAGTTAGGACATGTCAAAGTTGTCTTGTTGATGTTTTTTAGCTAACATATTGTTGGATGTTGATGTTCTTTAGCTAGCATATTGTAGAAGTTATGCCTGAGAGTTGATATTTTTTGACATTACATATTGATATTGTTAGTAGTTGATTTACATGCTAATTATACCCCTATTACTTTTGTCATATGTAGGGAGTTAAATTAATTTTGGGACAACTTGCAGTCATAGAAGCAAATTCAGATATGAATCGAATATTTTGTAATATTTTTTTGTTGGTCAACTGTGATTGCAATTTTTTTGAATAGGGTAACGATGTTAACTTTTTGAGTATGCTAATGATGTTAGCATAATGTATTGAATCATATCCCTTATTTTTGTTTATTAGAATTATGTAACATTTGATTACATACGACTAATTTGTAAGCATTTGTTTCAGTAGGTTTGTTGAAAATCAAATAAATTAATTGTGCAAATTTTTTAAAAAAATTGTAAAATGACAAATGACTACGTTTCTCAAACGTTGCGCTAGAGGGCTATCGCAACATTTCCTCGGTAGACCTCCCACTCTACGACAACACCTGAATTTGCCACACGTGTTCAAGCATTGAACTTTGCCGTATGCTGTTTTTGTTGTAATGTGTGGGAAGTGTTATTGAGAGGAGATTATTTATAATTATTGTGGGACTCGAAGATAGGAGATTATTGAGAGGTTGCATGTAAAAAATGTGCTGCAATATAGCTTATATTCAGCTCATGTTTTCAAACTATTTATAAATAATCAAATTACTTTTTATTTTTACACATTTTGGGGGACCTACGAGTATTATTCACCTATTCATAAGTTTATTTATTTTTTAATTGATAATTTAAACCGTTTGTAAGCACTTCAAAAATATGTGCATATATTGTGGAGTATCATTGTTTTTCAATTGTCAAGCATTTCATTTAAATGTCAAATTTACAAACTCGATGAAGCTCATCGATGCATCATGCATATTCTGGTGAAGATGTTTCTTACAATATGTTTAGCTGTGCTTAAAAGTTACTTTTTTTAAAAAGTAAAATAAGACTTAATTTCTTGTTGTAATTATGGAGGTAGAGTCAATGCTTTTCCCATTCGTACTTTAATTTTATATAATCTCGCTTAAATTTCGCTGATGTTTCGAAGCCCAAAAAGAAATTGGTAAGACATTCTGAAAGGTAAGTTTTGTAAGTTAAATTAAAAAAGTAATTTAAAAATAAGTTTGCCTTCAAACATTGTATTTTCGGTTATGCTTACTATTGCACATCAAGCACGAACCGAGTGCTCAATTTCCATAGTTACACTGAAGCACTACCAACCTACTATAAAATGAGACATCAAATTTCAAACTCATTGTCGCATAATCAAGAAGGCATATCAGGTTTAGCATCTACAAGTTTGATGAAGAGGAAATGAGTGATCAATTGAGGTTATAACATTTCCAATCTAGACCAGTTATAACATTACAAGTAATTCTGCATATAGATGGTTAGAGGCATCAAGAAGATGATATGAATTAACATTTGACTGTCGCTGATAATGCAATCCTACAATGTTGTTATGACTTTGTGGTGGATTGTATAGTACTAAATGCTTAGCGTGCCTTTGAGGTTTGAAATTAGCTCAGTCGACTTCAAAACCCATGTTTGCTTAATGTGCCAAGTAACAAAAAATAGAGAAGATCCCTCATACATGACAATCATCTTCTTCCTTCAAAGTAAATTCAACGGACACGTGCTCCCGTGCAAAAGGAGAGATGGGTGGAGAATCCCAACGCGTAGGAGAACGTGGAGGAGACTTCCACCACGATGAAGAGTTCAACCAATCTTCATTTAGTTCCTTTAGTTCTGCTAGGCTACTGAAATCGGGATCGATCTAACCACAAAAATAAGCAAAATGTCAACTCGACATTTGTCCATCCTTATATACAAAATATAGTTTGAAAAAGAATTGAATGCAAAATATTCACACCTTTGCTAATCTTGGCGCTGGATCTGCGGAATCTGGACAAAGGAAACTCCATCAATTAGACATCATAAAATTATATTATTATACATCCGTGATCGACATTTTCAGGTTTCCAAGTAACTATTTCCTCATAATACCTCTATTATACATGCCAGGAGAAACCTTTGAAAACAGATATCTAAGTAAATTTAAAAATGAGTTAAATACAATTATAGGTCAAGCTTTATGAAAATAGTTCTTTCTTGTTCATGTTTGGCTGGTTTCAGCTTTAGAATTTAAAATGTCAGTAACAAGAAATCACGGCATAGTGGAGTAGGTGGTTTTGTAGTTCATGACACTAATATTTCCAAGTTTAAGTTCAGTGCCGACAACGAATTCAAGTAATACTTGGCCGAGCTTTTGAAAAGCTAAAAGTTACTTCTAAGACTAAGAAGCTGCTTTTGAACATGTTCACATAATTTTCTAGAAGTGCTTTGGTTAGAAGAGCTTTTAGAGATAGCTCATCTAAGGTAATTTCTTCAGGAAGCTCTCATACAAGAAGTAGAAATTGAGAAAGCTCTTATACAAGAAGTAGAAATAAAAGCAAAATTCCTACCAAACGGGTCTTTGATATAAAGACTATAGATTGAACTATGACACAATCAAACGTAAGAAAACAAAATGTTTAGTTTTTCATATTTGAACTATACTTCCTCATTTCAAGCATTCATACTAAAACATTGTCCGACCCTGGAACATAATGAAGTATATGAATGTAATGACATCGAGTTCACAAATTTAAAAAACTTACCAAGTCCAGGAAGAACGATATCCCAAAAGTGACGTTCTGAAGATGCTTTCTCAGCCTCAATGCACTTGTTGTGATCGTGCAAAAATCCCTCTTCTGCAATATTAAGATTCTCATTTACAAGCACTGCCTTTGCGGATTCTTCAGCCCCAATAACATGATTGTGTAAAGATCCTTCCTCTAAAACATTATGTTTCTTAGTTTGTGAATTATTTTTCTTCAATGATGCCTCAGGATGAAGGGATGACTTATTTGTAATGTCGTTAAGAGCTTTACGACTTTCAAGCACTGCTCCACCCTTCTCAGAAATCTGCTTGGAACTCCTTGATTTACCATGAACCGCTGCCTCTACAAAGAAAAATTAACTCAATTTCTTCACAAACTCGAGGTTACTAGCACGTTTGGCTGAACTTTAAAAAAAGTACACTTTCTTTGACAGTAACTCTTTAAAGAATTTTTTTTAACTGAAATCCAGAAAAGAACTATACTCAAAAGACCTCAAACATGTTTGGGGCAAAATACTTATAAAGGTAACTCTTACGCTTGGCCAAACACGCTCTAGTTGCCAAGTAGAGTTTTGACAGTTCTAAGTATCCACTTGAGCAAATGCATTATCTGGGGGAGCATAAACACCATTTTGATAGTCTCGAGAGTCTCAATAACTCAATCAAACCGAAGAATCCAAATAGAAATTCTAAAAATTGGAAAAACAGATCAATACAAGATAGATAAATTTATACTTTTGCGGTGGATGGTCGAATTCTCATCTTGGATGAACAGTGGCTTCTGAGTAAGGGGTCTTTCCATATTTCTCTCTCACGAACTAATATTACACTATCTGCAGCAAATAATTGGGAGATTAGCCACAACTCCGACCACAAGGGCAAATAAATTATACATATTTGAAAGGCAATGTTATCGAAAAATCTAATCGCGAGCAAATTATTGTAGAAAAGAAAATTGAAAAATATAAAATATAAATTAGAATTTAAAAGTGGAAAAAAAAATTAAGGTTATAAAAAGAAATGCCAACCCATCAAATTTTTACATCAAATAAAAGAACCCTAATCACACACTCAAATATTGCAATTATTATCCAAAATCATGTCCTTTTTACCGATTTCCCTCAAAATTTTCTACATTTCAATGTTAAAAATCATCTTTAATTATTTACTGTAACCTACAAGAAACCCAAAAACTGCATAATGAAGAATCAATCTCTTCGGCAAATATGAACATCAAACAATTACAATAGAATCGAGATCAAAATCGAATTATCAAAAGCAAAGAAAAATCGCAATGCATTGTGAAATATACATCAAGAACTACTTAATGTCTACCTTCTTGATGTTGAACAGATCGACCAAAATTTCACTGTTGCGGGTGAGAGAGAGTTGTTTAGGCGCATAAGCTGAAATTTAAAATGCAGGACCTGTGTTTGATGGGCCGGGCTGCCTTGTTTGGCCCAGCTTAAAGAGTATACGGTCTAGTTACGAAAATTACCTAAAAGGCTAAAACCCTACTATGCAAAAAATTAATAATTAAAAAATATTAAATTAATTAATACGAGACTAAATATGAAAAATATCGTTTCGTGGGGATTAAAATTAAATTTCTATTAGATTGTGATAGAAGTTTTTAAAATGTGTGATTGAAAAGTTGTGGAATCCACGAAAGATGTGGTTAATATTGAATGTTTGACTTTGACTTAAATTAAAATCAGATTTTATTATGAACCAAACATGGGCCTAATCAAAACTTTTCACCCACCCTACTTCCTTACATCCCGCCAAATTTCCCAAACCCTACTCATTTTCACTCATCCATTTTCTTTGTATCTCTCCATTATCTCTTTACCACGCACCACCACCAGAGCATCGTCGACGCTGGGCTCAAGACGCCTTCGTTCGGTCAACATCAACAATCTGTGGTCGCTAGAGGACAAAGGAAAGAAGCCCAAACAAGCAATTTGCAGGAAAAAGGGAATAGGCGACTCGCACGGCGTTGCACGCAACACCTAAAAGAAATGTGTACAAAGTGTATCAAACATATCACACATTTTACCCTATATATATATATATATATTCACAATAATTTTATTTGCTGATTATCAAGCCATCTCCAGCGCTGCACCAAAATTCGCATTATTTTGCACCAAACTAAAATTCATCATCAACCATTACACCAAAACTTATACCAAATTAACCGTGTTTAATCATTTTCTTCTATTTTTTTATTTTTAGTAATTTATTTATTCGAAATATTATTTATTTTATAAATACATATATTATTAAATAAATAATTATGTTAAATTAAAGAAAATATTAAATTCATTAATAAATATAGTATTAAAACATAGTACAATTAGTAGAATCACTTCAAAATGAAAAGTATTATATCATGTCATTACAAAATAGTGCAGTGTATTTCGAATTTGAATATTATGATATTATGAAGTCGAAATATCATTGCAATTTAATTCTTGGAATTNAATTATTATTTTTAATATTTAAAATGTATTTTGAATGCAAATAATAGTAGTAGTAGTAGCAACAGCAGCAGTAGTAAAAATAATAGTAAAAATGCAAATAATAATAATAATTATATTAAAAATTGTATAACACAAATGACACAAATACCCTCCAATAATTCTTTTGGCAAATGAAAAATGAGGCAAATTGGACTTTGCACAATTTTTTCAAAATGATGCAAAATTTGGTGCCACATTGTAGCACTTTTACACCAAATTTTGGTGAAATTTGGTGTTTTGATGTTGCCAATAGAGATGACCTCAGTTACCAAAATTTGGTGTTTTGGTATTGCCATTGGAGATGGCCTCAGTTTCTAAGTTGCAACGTAATATCTTTGAATTGTACTACCAAAATCTGAATTTTTGTTCTTTAAGTTGTGGATTAATCTTGAAACTTAAAAACATTGAATCAATCCTAATTAGTATTTAAAAGCTCGATTATGTAGCTGGCTCAAAGAAATTCCAGCACTGAACAAGATTTCTTTTCGAGTTTCATATTATTTCATTATACCCTTGCAGTACTTCTATCTACTTTAGAAATATACTCAGAACTTGTTAGTTTTCTTCCTTTGCGTCCTTAGAATAGTGCTAATTTTCTTGCTGTGGATGTTTTCAGGGGGCGAAAAGTAATGCCCATAATTGAAGCCCATTAGCATCAATACCAGTCAATTCAACCCTTCAATCCAATACCATTTACAAATTACGACCCCTTCCTTCTCATCTCCACTCTGCCTCCTTGTTTCTCGTCCTCCGCCTCCGCCTCCGCCTTCTCTTTCTCCCGGTCCCAGTGGCCGGCTCCACTCAGTTTCCTACGCTTCCTCAGTCCTCCTGCCACTCAATTTCCGTCGCCTCATCCCGTCATCCGTCATTCGAGTTTGGTTCGCACTTAGATTTTTTACGTGAACTGGATTAAGTAGTAATTCGCTATCTAATGTTTTAATTCAGATATGAAATAAAGATATTCTTTTAAAGATAAACTAATGTAGACAATGTAAATGTTAATGTGGGATGTCGAATAACAAGGAATTTGACATCATAGAACTTTCAACTGATCCTGGTCTAACGATACCCATTTTGGATTACAATGTTAACATCTGAGATTAAGTTCGAAGAGCATATTTATTAAAGGGTCATTGTCTATCCCAAGATCATGACATTCTAAAACGACAATTTGGAGTAAAATCTAGGTGATTCTTTTCAGAGAATGCGTGACTATGGAACAGAACAAATTATGAGGAGTACGCTCAATACATTTCGAATAATGCCATAATTTTAACCAATAATCAGACTAGTTTTCCATCGTTTCTTAATTTTTTTAGTTGAACAAGAAAAGTTCAAGAAATTATTTATTAAATTCATTTCAATATATCTTTGAATCCGTTGTCATGTAAAAATATAAAACATAAATTTATAGCACTTTTTGTCTAGTCTATTTCTGACGGGAGCTTTGGTATAATATTTTAAATGTGAAGGACTGTTGATGTATTTATCGATTGATTGAAGGTGTATCTGTAATTTTCTCTAATTCTTGCTAGAACTCTAAGCTTCGCGCTCTGTAGAGCAATTCATAAAACCCTTTCCAGTGGTTTCCCCCTTTTTAGGATTTGTATTCGCCGGCAATCCTTTCTCTGGTAATATTGTTGGCCGAGTTTCTTTCTGCAGACACAGCACGGGATCAGCCTGAATGCGTAGCCTTTTATTTGCCAATTGGAAAAATCAAAAGCAAAATCAACACCATAGCCGATTTATTTCGGACCAAAGACCGCTGGCGCAGACTCAAAGTTTATTTCTACACGTCTTGCAGCACCAGCCTCACTGCCGCAGCAATTGAGTACTGAGGTAATTCTATTTTTATCTTTTTATTTTTTTGCTGCAATTTCAATAAGTAATTACAGTGTATATCTTATTCTTTGAGTTTATTTATTTTGCTGCAACTAATCTTTTGCTGGGATTTCCCTTAAAAATTTGTATTTTAGTTTTATTCTTTAGGTGTTTCTTTTCTTTGCTGAAATTTGAATTGATTTTACAATGTTGATGGAATTTAAAGTTTGATTTAGTATTGCTAATGGACCTCGTTCCAGACTTGAAAATTAGTTTAGGATTTCACTTTGAAATTTGTATGTTACAATGCCCCATATTTTATTCTTTGTTTTCCGGCCTTTTGAGTGGACACACAATTTCAATGATTTTTCTTTAACATAAATTCAGTTTGTCACTTTGAATTGAGATATGGATGAGGTGATTGAAATTGATGGAATTCATAAGTTCTATTCCATATTTTGGAGGAACCAACCTTTACTTTGAATGAAACTCATTGATTAGAAAAATGAAAAATTATTGCTGTGGTCCTAGGAATTGATAAAATATCTAGATATGAAGTCTGCAGGTCGAGGTTGATAATGAGAGATTATGTTTGATACATATGACACTCAAGTGTCGGGGGTTGAATTGTTGTTGGATATTAAATAATATTTTGGGATTTATCAATAAATCTGTCTGGAGGGATGGAACATGTTTCAGGCAGAAATAGCCATTTGCAGAAATAATTTGAAGTTTCCAGCAATCGTTTATCCGGTAATATTTTTGGTCAGGTGTTGCCTCATTTCATAGGTCCGATGCCCTGGCATTTTTCTCTCTATCTCTCTCTGCTGACTTGTTCGACTCGTTTTCTTGGTGATTTTTTGTAGTGAAGAGGATGAGAAGATTTCGTCGGGGAAAATATATTTGGAATCGAGCCCCCTTTTTAAACCGACCCTTTTGCAGCACTCCACACAAAAATTCCAATAATAAACCGGCCACCATTTCTAGCAATAGCAACGAGTCTTCGTCTTCATCATTGAGTCAGTATAGTGAGCAATACAAAGCTCTTAATAATCTGGATTTCATGACTGCCGCCAAAATCCTCTTCACTGATCAGTCCAAGAAGAAGAAATTTGGGTAGGCTTTTACTTTTCTAAGAGGCATTTTATCACATTCATTTCTTTTTCAGCAAAGAGAAAAACTTTATTATACAGAATGCTTTGTATCCTCAAATTGAAACCCATTCTCCATTTTGATTGATATTGCAGTTAAGTCCCATTTCAGCTAAGAATTAATTGTATGTTTGATGATTTTCAGATTAGATTTCCACCTGGTACAGCTCTTCTTTGTCTGCTTGCCTTCATTGGGTATTGTATCTCCATTCTTAATCTTAATGTGGACTATTGAGTTTGTGACTCAGACCATAGACCTTCTTGGTTATGTGATTATGTCCATTTGTTATTGAGTTTGATTTTTATCTTCTTTCGTATTCCGAAACATTGAATATTTATGCATCTTTCTCTGCAGCTGTATATCTTGTGGCTCAGTATGCTCGCAGTGAAATGAAAAAAATGGACGCGGTAATCATTATTTTGTTCATTGTCCTTTGTAGTTTACTCTATATATGTAGTTTGATTTGCTTTTCATCCGGTTTGCATCATTTTTCTTTCTTTCAACCCTTTTTTAAATTATGAACATAAAATATGATGTGAAAACTCGTCCATCCGGCGATGAAAATCAATCCAAAATATTCAAATTTTTGGTCCATATAGATAATAGCACGTTGTTTTCAATATGCCAGGGCAAGCTCTATCCATGTACCATGGGAAGGGTATCTATATGCTTATAAAACAAAATAAAGTTGCCTATAAGCTGTGCAAATAAACTTTTAAACATTTTGATATCCTTTTATCTGATAATAGTAGAAAAGTGGATGTCAAAGTTACTAACTAGATTTACATTTGGCACTTAGAATGACCTTACCTAGTTATTGTTGCAAAGTTCATAAGAAAGGGTTCATATCAATCTTTAACTTGGTAGCAAAGATGTTTTACTGTCCTATATGTTTCATTTTACTGTGACAGGTAACAAACTAGTTTCATATTTATGATGGCTAAAATTGTTTATTCTAGCTTACCAGTCCTCCTACCTTCCCTTTTGTTTGGTTGATCTTGCAGAACATCCGAAATCCCATTCGAGTGACTTGTATGGTTTTGTCAAATTTGGCTTTCTAAACAGATCTTAACAACCACAATATGAATAACCCAAAAAGGTCTATTGAAGGTGTGCTTCTGCGAAATTAGACCCTCCTCGTGTTAAGAAGCACATGAATTCCCATACTGACTCTATTGTAGGCAGGCTTTTAGTTTTACTGAATTTGTACGAAGAGATATTTGTATCTATTTCTTTTTATACTTTTTTGTAGTGGTGACCTTTTTACACCTGTTCTGTTTGGAGTCAGATAGATTTTCTGGTCAAATTAGCATCCAAAATCTGGATTCACCTAAATCTTGGGTATGTAGGGTATGGCAATATATTGATATTTTTTAACCATTTTCTTTGTATCTACGGGGAACTTGTGTTCAATTCAAGACATATAATGTATGGAAATGGGCATTCAACATTTTTGTACATGACTGCTGAAAAAATGAATCATGTTTGACATGTTTGTCCTAATATTGGTTGTCAAACAAGGATACTTCAGTGCATTTATTTGAGTTGAAGTAACAGGGTTTGGAAGATTCTTTCGAACAGGACCAAGTCATTTTTTCTTCATCTTAAAAGCTGTGAAAAGTAAAATCTTGTTTGGATTTTATTTTTCATAGATGTTAGTAAACATTAAAATAGAGCTACAAGCCGTGTGATTTGCTTCGTATGTTGGCTTTGTTGAGGTTCCCTTTTAAATTATGTTGTCAGGAACTCGAGTTGAAGAAACAAGC